ACAAGAAGTGTGTTGGTCAAATTCATAAAAAAGGAGATCATTTGTCGCTACGGGTTGCCAGAAATATTGATTACTGACAATGCCAAAAATCTCAACAACAAAATGATGGATGAACTATGCGCACAATTCAAGACCAAACATCACAACTCAGTACCATATCGACCCAAGATGAATGGTGCCGTTGAGGCAGCAAATAAAAACATCAAAAGGCCATCCAAAAGATGGTTGTCACATACCGGGATTGGCATGACATGTTACCATTCGCTCTACATGGGTATCGAACTATAGTGAGAACATCAACGGGGGCAACCCCGTTCTCCCTGGTCTATGGAATGGAAGCTGTTCTACCAATAGAAGTGGAAATCCCATCCCTAAGGGTGATAAAGGAAGCAGAATTAGAAGATTCCGAATGGGTTGAGGCAAGGTACAACCAGCTGAACTTAATTGAAGAAAAGAGGTTAAGGGCCATTCATCACGGACACCTATACCAGTGAAGGTTAATCCGCGCATTTGAGAAGAAAGTAAGGCCCCGACAGTTTCAAGAGGGAGAACTCGTCTTAAAGAAGATCTCTCTGCGACAAGGAGACCCATGGGGAAAGTGGACGCCAAACTATGAAGGGCCCTATGTAGTGAAGAAAGCTTTCTCCAGAGGGGCTTTGATCTTGACAGATATGGATGGAGACGAGTTGACACATCTAGTGAATTCCGATTCAGTCAAGAAATACTATGCATAAGGGGGCAAGCCGATAAATTGCAGTCGATTCCATATGAATAAGAGGATAAGAACAGAATAAATTGTTTAATCATGAAATGTCTTTTGCGCTTTTCTAATTTTTCATGTATCCTGTCATTTCTCGTTTAATAAATATAACCTTCTCTTTTTATTCACACCAGATACACCCTTTATCAGGATCCATCCTTTTCTTCCAGTCAAATTGTCAATTCACTGTCATTACGATCTTCGCTTTAAGACTTAACCACAAGATATCCCAACGAAATGGGCATGAGGAGCTCGGTTTAGAATTTTCTATAGATCCATGACTTTATGGCAATGAATTATTCTAAGCCCAAATGAAGGGTCAATACCCATTATGAATCCAGAATCAACTGATAGAGGATACCCAGCAACGCCTCCAATAACCCCACTCAAGCGCATGAGTCCAGCCAGGAGTTTGACATACGATCTCAAACGGCGAAGGACCCACGCACCATAAGAGTAAATTACCGATGGACAAAAAAATGGTTGGAGCACCGGTGATGATCCTCTTTATGGCCTAAGACAATACAATGTGCATTGTGCAGCGTCAAAACAACCAGAGGAATTGGTTCCTTCTCTTGTGGGTCATCAGTTTGAAGGAAACCCATGGCCAAACAAGATGTCATTATAAGCTTGCTTTCAAATAAACGAGCACATTCATCATTATAGCTCATTATAAGCATGACATCACATCGCATCATATTATATCACGCTTTGCGAACTACTAGCATTTTTCAACGCATCAAGTTTCCTTTTTATCGAAGTTAAGGTTGAGAACATTTTCAAGAATCAAGCATACCTTGTCCACAAAACTTCTTTGGCACGTTGCTTCATTTAAACCTTGATGTATACCAATTATGATTAGAGTATTACTCTAGATATCCTCATCAAAGTTACGGCCACACTACTGCCGCCAAAAAACAAGTCAGGCTATACCGCCTTGGAAACGCCATGAAAACAAAATCAGGCCCTACCGCCACAGAACCCAAATCAGGCTATACCGCCTTGGAAACGCCATGAAAATCAAATCAGGCTCTACTGTCATATTAGAACAAGCAATCCCTTTTCAGCTATGCCGCTTCAAGGGCTAATCGATTTACCTCTCCTTTTATACAAGTACGTGAACTCCTCGGTCTACTCAAATAACAGTATACAGTCGATAGATTGGCCAAAATTGGTGTGTACGGATAACTTTGTAAACCTCTAGAATTTTAAGAGGTATACAAAGGGGGGCAACTGTAGACACCCCATTTTGTCCGGGCTAAAATATCCTAATTTACGAAGAATTTAACTCATTTAAGATGGGCAATTGCTAATTTTGGATGAGCTATAAAATATTCTCAAAATATTTAGCATAAGGATATAAGAGTATGTAATTTGGACCTTTGGAATTAGCAATAGCAAGTCGTAAGATTCCAATTTAAATAGAGGTTAATACAACTGATTCTAGGCCGATTGATGGGATAAAGTTTTGTAAGGCAATTGCCTTATTTTCGTTCTATTCTTGGTTTGAGATCGCTTTGATTGGTTTGTGGTCTTTGGACGTTGGGCTTTCGAATTTGGAGTATCAAGTTGGAGTATCGCTTGACAATTGACGAACTAAATAGTGAAATAGTATTATTTTATTAATAAATAATTTACATCTATGATAAACATACATAACCGTTACAACAATTGAAATTAATGTACAACATCGCATAATCACAAACGTCATAAGGATTACAACATAACTAATTACAATAATAGAAAGATAAGGAGAATAACAAGGCCATTGGTTTTGAAAACTTTTCTTTCGTTTTAAACTTAAGGGCAAAATCAGATTTTGAGAACCATCCTCTTTGGATTTGGTTTTCTCAGGTCATCATTTTGGGCCTGAAAGTCTAAAAATAGGCCCATATCAAAGTCCAACCCAAACCCAATCAGGCCCATCAGATTGGTCAAGCCCAGTCAGGCCCTTCAAATTAGTCAAGGCCCAGTCAACGGATCGACCCGGTCAGATCTGTATCCAACCCAGACCGGTTCGTCCGTTTGACCCGAACCCTGGTTCGATCTGAACCAAGTCGGTTACTGTAGCTACAGTTCTCCACCAATGAGAATCAATCAAAGAGGGGGTCTACACCCTTGGCCAATCAGATTGGAACAAAGTTACCCCTACGATACAGTAATTTCCCGATATAAATACAACATGCCTGGGCAACAGAGAAGGGGCGGAGACAAATATTCTCATTCTCATCCCAAAAAGCAAAAAGTAGTAAAGAAGAACACCCAAAAAGCCATTCACCTCCGCCTCAACTTTCCCCAACCTTTCCCAAGATCATGCTTAGAGCTTGAGTAAAAACCCAGCAAGCTTGTAAAAGTAAAAAGGGCAAGCTTCCACCTTCCACATTTTCTGTTCTCATACAAAGTTTCCAAGCAAAAGGGGAATAGGAGAAAGCGATTGAAGCAAAGAAGCTAGGACCAGTAGAGGCCAAAGAAGGAAACAAACAAACAACCACCACCATCCCAATCACAAGCCAGGGTAGGTTATTCTCATCACTAAAAAACCATCATCATCACCACTTCACGCCCTCCATACTTAAAAACACAAAATATATGTCTAATGCTTGTTTCTTTACTTCCTAAGCTTGTTTGTTCTACTTTCTATGCTTTCTATGCTTGTTTTCTTACTTCCTAAGCTGGTTTGTTCTACTTTCTATGCTTTCTATGCTTGTTTTCTTTACTTCCTAAGCTGGTTTGTTTTACTTTCTGCTACTGTCTGTTTTTATTCTCCAAGTATATTAACTAAAGAAACTCATCTCAAAGAAGCATCTAAGTCTTTCGATAAAAAATAAAAAAAAACAGTAAACTCAAAACATGTGGCTGCTGGCATCAACCCACCTTTGTTGTTTAGTTTATACACTACTTTTACCTCTAATATATTTAAGCATGACACACCTTAAAATACTATATCTTACCAAACGTGCTAATCATTGATTAGGTAATCTAAGTATCTGCTAATCCCAAAGTTCTCGTTTTTATTAAGCTCAAATAACTAAAGTTTCGAACTTTTAATGAAACAATCAGAAACAAGAACTTGATACCATACAAGCAAAAATAGTTGTGAAAAGGTATTTTAAAATACCTTATTTTTGTTTAAAAGGGCTTCCACTCTATCTTAAACTCAATACTTTAGTTGAAATTTAACACTTAGGTATAGAGGTGGCAAATGGATTGATTCATGGATAAGTGGATTGGATTGTTTGATCCATGGATCAAATGGACTGGATCAAATGGATTAATGGATCCATGGATTGGATAAAGTGGATTGATGGATTATCCATTAATCCAAATGACATTTAAATCATTGAATCAAGATGTCAAATTTGAAAACTTTATATACTGCAACTTGATAATAAATATTTTAGGTACCAAACTGTATATTTTCCATGATATTTTATTTTCGCAGATGAGAGAAACAGTCATCGCCGGCGACAAGAGTCTGCCGGCGACACCTCCAGCCTCCAGGTCCCTCCCAACTGGACAAGCGGCCGAATCTGGGGCCGAACGGCGCTGGCAGAATCCCTCCCGCAACCCTCCTCGAGCTCACACTCAACATGATTGTCGTTGATGTCGCTGAACTCCTGGTTGGCGAAGACGTCGAACTCGACGCCGAAGATGCGGGTGCTGGGATCGTTGTCGATGGTGCGATTGAGGAAGCCCAGGTTCTGAGAAGAGGAAGCCCCCTCGATTCCGGCGAAGGGGACGAACAGGAAGACCAATCCGTGGCCCGGGAGGGTGTTTCTGTACGGCGCCATGGCAAAGATGAAGGAGGTGGAGAAGGGGTTGACATAGGAGGAATTGGGGGTTTTGGTGCGGATTCTCTGCGGGTAGAGAGCGCGGCCGATGGTGAATGTGGTGGAGTTGGTGAGGGTGAGGACTCGAGATTCGACGGCGGCGGATCCGTAGAGGAAGAGGCTGGAGGAGGAGTTGGTGGGGGTGAAGCTGTTGAAGAGGAAGGGGAGGGTGTGAAGCGGCCGGCGGTGGTTCATTGCGGCGGCGGGGAAATGGGTGGCGGTGGCGGCGGTTGTTTCATTTGGGGGATGGAGGAGATGGATGATAAGGTGGGGAAATGGAGAAGGCCAGAAGGGGAAAGGGAGAGTTAACCAGTTAGAGAGGAGGATCCTGATGATTGAAGCAAGCCAGAAAAACACATCAGATGAGATATTCTGAAACAAGGACTAACCAAAATTACAAAAACTTGACTACCCAAGTCACCATGACAGATTTGCTAAGATGCCTGCTCAAGTTGCAAACTCCAGGGCCTGTGATCTAACTTGAACAGGGTAATCAGCTATACAAGAACCTTTTCATCATCAACAATACTCAATCGGGTTCATAACTCAATCAGAAAACATTCAGCATTACATCTTTGCATCAGGCAAACAAAACTCAATCGGGTTCATTACATCTTTGCATCAGGCAAACAAAACTCAATCGGGTTCATAACTCAATCAGAAAACATTCAGCATTACATCTTTTCAATCATTCATCAGAGATAGGAGTATAATTAGCAGCCATCGAGGATGTTCCAATAGCCTTTGAAATCTTCACCTCAAGCCCATTATCACGATCATCACCTGCATATCATAAGATTCTAATGTTACTTAAAGTTTCCTTAGATTGAACCATATCATATAAAATATATTCTTAATTAGCTTACTTGGAAACCCATATAACCAATTGCGTGTGGTTATCAAAGCTTCGGCATTTTCGGGCAAAAGAGAGCTTCGCCAGTTGTTTAACACTCTACCTCCCATACTGAAAGCCGACTCCGATGCTACGGTTGTGATTGGAATGCTCAAAATATCTCTGGCCAAGTGAGCAAGCTCTGGGAACCGAGATTCATTATTCTTCCACCAGAGAAGAACATCCAATGGTTGTTTGCGCTTGAGTCTCTTATCATCTAAATATTCATCGAGTTGTGTTCTATCACCCAAGAACTGGTTTTCACCAAAAGAATCAAACTCCTATGAAGAAAACAGCAACGAGATCAATATCATGCCAATCAATTTGACACCAGAAGCACCATCACAGTCACATTGCTGCAAAATGGCCAGTACATACACCTATTCTGATTCCAGATTTCTATATACACAGCAACACTAATGTACAAAACCACATACCTGATGCTGAAAAGCACGAGTAGGACAATGTACCCACACACACACCAAAACAATTCACAACACAATTATCTCTCTGTGTTTCATACAAATGCAAAGAGAGGATATGAGATGACTGATGAGGGAGATGACCCACTTTCATTACCCAGGCACCACTGCACCAGTGAACTTATGGTTCAACAGACTGGTCCAGAACTCTCACATAACATATATATATACTGAATAATACTTTTGCACATATTTGATACAGAAAATATCCCAAGAATGACATGCAGCAAGAAAAAAACCAATAAGCAACCAATAAGTATATACAAGCAGCGGGATGGAAAAAATGGAGAAGATGAGCAATGAATAATGTGCCAAAGACAGGGAAATCAGAGAAGGAGAAGAGCCAAATCTGACATAAAATTCCCAACCGAAGGATTTCGATTTGTGCCTCTAGAACAAAGCTGTCAAGAAATCGATCCAATTCAGATCTACTCTTGCAGCCGAAAGAGGAGGCAACGAAGACAAACATACCCAGTAATTCAAAAGAACAAATAACGAAAGAGAGCTGAAGAATTCAGGCTGTGAGAAAGATAATCGAAGGAACAGAACAATGAATGAATTTTAGGGATAGAGGACGACTGATACCTATATATAGAGTTAAGATTAAGCGGGAGAACTGAACTAACCCTGCGCCGACGCAAGTTCACTGCAAGTCTGCAAGAATTCACAAAATCAGAAATTCCAATGGTGAAACAATGGGGAAGAGGTTCGATTAGAAAGTACCTGTTCAACCTTTGAGACGGCGGAGCGGAGAAGAAACGAACAAAATTTCAGTTCGTGGGTTTGGGCGAATGGAGTGATTAACGTTCCTTGATGGAGCTGGCCGAGAAATGATGGAGAGGAAGGCGAGTTTCTGACCTTCGTGAAGGAGGCGACGAGGTGGGTCTGGATAGGAGGCGGCGCGAACGGTATTGTCTGGAATAGGAAGCGACGAGGTGGGTGAGAGAGGGTGAGAGAGGCGGCGAGGTCGCAGTGGTTTTTGGAGGCGACGACTGACGAGGTGGGTTCAAGAGGGGGAGAGAGGCGGCGACGCGGTCGTCGTGGTAGGCGGGGGAGGAGGGGAGGGCGAGGGCGGGGGCTTGGATTCGGAATTCGTCGAGAGTGAAGGAAGGGGCGCGGCGGGCGAGGGTGGAGCTGATGTAGTCGATGAATCGCTCTCGCTTCTCCTCCTCTTGTCCGACTCCGCCGCGGCCGGCGTCGGAGTGGTGGAAGGAAAGAGAAGGGGTGGAATTCCAGGCGGAGTAGAATCGGTTGGAGAGGATGCAGAGTTGGGAGACGGTTTTGGGAGGGAGGAGGGGAGGGCACAGCAGCTCGCCGGAATCACTCCCTGGCCCCTGCCCACCACGGCTCCGACTGCTTCAGGGCTCAGGCTCCGACTGTTTTGTTTTGATTTTTGGTATAGGTTAGTGATTTAGTGGATATCCATGAATCCAATCCATTTATCCATGGATTAAATGGATTTGGACTAAATGGATTTGGATCAATTTAAATGGATTTGGATCAATTTAAATGGATTGGACTGGATTGGACTAATGGATTGGATCAAGATTGCCAGCTCTACTTAGGTATTATTAACCAGTCTAGCAAGAGCTTCAACTTTTGCTAAACCCATTTTGCTTCTTATGATGATTTAAACCGCTTAAAATCTGTTTTTTTTGCTAAGTCATGTGCGCAAGCAAAAAAATGGAGGGATTTCACCTGTGAAGTTCTCGTCTTAAATCTGCAAAATCAGAGAATTCAAGAGTCAGAATCCCAAATGAAAAAACCAAAATAGCAAAAAAAAAAAAACACAAAAAGCAGAACCTACCTAAAGCCTTCGCCATCGGCTTTGATGTAATCCACGCCGCCGGCGACCGCCGCCTCTCCCTTCCTTCTCTCGGCAGAGGCCCAAGCAACCAAAAAATAAAAAACAGAACAAAAATAAAACAAGTTAAATCTCAATTTAAATCCCTAAATTAAGCAAAAATGGATATGCATGTCCAATAATCTTACTAGAGGGTAAGATCCCCTCGTCACCACCGTGTCTCTAACCAGAATAAAAAGCATTCCCCTCGGTTTAGAGTCGATTTTCGAAAAAAAAAACAAGAAATAGGAATAAGAATTCTAATAGACTAAAATCAAATCTGAGAGAAATCGAGCATGCAAACTAAAATCGAACCTTTAGGACTCCCTAGCTGTCGTTTGTCGTCGTCATTGGCCGCGCTTGCCGTCGTTTGCCGCCGGCGATGCCTTTTTTTCTCTCTCGCTGTTTCCAGAAGTGAGGTGAAGGAGAGGGTGTCGGCGGCGTTTTGCTTGGGTGGCTAGGGTTCCGCCGTCTTTTCTTTGAAGGAGAGGAAGAGACAGGCGAGTGAGGTTAGGATAGAGGAGATTAGGTCTAATTAGGGTTTTCGGTTTGCTCTCTGGAAGAGAGACGAGAGTTGGAGAGGTTTGAGAGAATGAGAGAGAGTGGCGGCCGCTTGTTGGTTTGGTTAGGGTTTCCATTTTCGGTTTAAGAGACCAATTTATACCCACCCGATAAAGACTAGCTTACCCCTAGGGTTTCGCTTTAATTACACTCCCATGCCACCGTGTTTTTGGCCATTTACCAAACTGCCCTTCCCCTTTAGCTACACCAAAACGAGAATCAACGCAAAATGCAAGCTGTGGGTTTCGAACCCACATACTCGGCCCAAACACGATCTAGGATCACCTCAACCAGTTGGGCTGCAAGCCCGTTACGTATCAATTTAATCATCGCGTTTAATTTTAATTATTTAATATCCTTAGTACGAAGTATTAAAATGCGGATTAAGTTTATCTCGTTTCTTGTCCAATACATCGATTTACCTCCTAAATACTAAAATCCTTGCAAATATCAATTTAAATTTCATTAACAAAAATTATAATACGGAAATTACCTTCGGTGGAACGTGGTTAAAATTACTTTTTTAAATCATCGAGTTTTAGTTCGAACTACGTGGACTTTGATCCCGGTTAAACCCGGGTACGTAGGCAACCGATAAGTTCGAGTCCAACCAATCTAAAAAACCTTTTTACGTCAGTAGACGCAAAAACCGGTAACTTTAAATTCAAGTTTATGCCAATAACATCGTCCAATTGGACTCTAATGATTTATATTCTTACCAATTAAAAATAATAGAATATTACAACTAAATACACAAACAAATCCAAATTAATATTACACCCAACCTCTAAAAAACTTATCGATTATGTAGTACCCGTTATGGGGCGTTGTGGGGTGTGGATACACTTCCCCACAAGTAACCGTACTCCCGAACCTAGAATAATCTAAAATTCGCAGACCAGAATTCTGGTTTTAACAAAAAATTAAAACCGGAAAAGGGTGTTCGACCCACCCCAAAATACGATCGATGGCGACTCCAAACCGATCCTCGAGCGATACGCCAGATTTTCCGAGGGCGTTTGCGACATACATATAGGCAAAGCAACCTCTAAATCACATTGTGAATTGTCTTTAGTCTTTTGGATAATGGTAAAATGATTTGTCTTGATAACTTGGGTTAGGCAACATCTCAACAGGCTTCTCCGCTACCAAATCCAAAGGCGCATCCTTTAGCAAATCATTAGTAAACTCCCTTACACAAGCACCATCTTCCCTCTTCTTCACTGCTTCACTAATATATTTGTCAGTTTCATTTTCACCACTGTGGCTTCCATGCGCCAACTGTTGTGATGTCGTCAACAATGACAGTTGCTACTTGCTCATCTTCTAAGGTGGTACTGACGGCTTCCCTACAGGCATTATCGAGCACTTGTTTGGCTTATCTGCAGAAGAGTGCGAGGATAAAGAGTTTCAGGAGGTGGATTCATGACCCGTGGTAATTTGCGTGCGAGCACCGCTGGGGAGGCCAAGTATAATTGTAGTCACGACAATGAGTGATCATGTTATGCATTAACAAGCTCTATGTCGACAACCGTTGATTGCTTTGCTTGGGACTCAGTATAGCCACTAGGGGCGGCAACATCATCTTCGTCATAGATAATAATGACCTCCAGAAATATAGAGGAGTAGGAGTAGCCATTGGCATGATTGTAGGAGAATGCCATCATTTGTTTCTGATCTATTGTAGCTACATTATTATTTTTTCCGAACAAGTTTTGTGTTTTTTTTTTTGCTTTTAGAAGTAAGTTTTTTTTATAGTGGGACGAGGTATAGACATTAGGATTTCAAGTTCGTAAGAGAAGTGAAAACAACATGAGTAACGGACGATGTCCATCTTGTTCTTCGCGTTGTTTGCGTAATAACTCAAATATTAATAGGTAAAATATCTAACTTGTAGGACTCTTACATGGAAATCCGATAATACGTAATATGACTCCATAATTAATTATATAGTAGTACCCATACTTGAGAGTCATAATGCTACATAATACTCTAATAGTTTAGACATATTTAAGCCATATTTGGAAATAATAATATTATATTTTTTCTGTAGTGATATAATGAATTGAGTTAGAATATTTAGATTGCATGTCACTCTAGTGACTAACATGTCACATGTCCCAACTTGAGCAAACGTGGAAAGCTTAATGTCTTGCACAAATGCAAAGTTAGATTATAAAACCTTAATATCACTCGAATTCCCTAATTGGGTCTTCTGCCAAAGGCTTTCAGCATTATGCTTCTTTCTCTCCTTACCCTCGCTCAAAGTTCATTGATCCTTTGTTGTAGTGACAAGATCTGCAAAGTTAGAGTGAGAAAAAGAAGAAGTCCTTGTTTTGGTTCCTGCTTTATTATGACTCTTGTTTGTAATTTCTTTCACTGGCCAGAGGAGAAACAAAGACTCTTGTGATCATGATCTATCACTAGCAATCTATATGATGGATATCCTCTTGTACTGTAAATACTGCTGCTATGTGGAATGGGATGAGGAACCAAGAGAGTGGTTGGCAATAAAAGCTTTGACATGCTTTTTCGGAGGTGCTCAATGCCTTCACGTGGAAAAAAGATATTCAGATTATGTTATGTTGCTCTGATCAGTAATATGCAACTAACTAGTAGCATTAATTAATACAATGGATTCTGTTGGTTTCTGTTGATAAGCTTCATTAGTCAAATTTTTATCTTGTAAAATTATTTGAAAGGGGCAAAATAGATGGGCATGTTGTAGTTAAATAGAGGTTATGAGTGTTTGTTATTCAGGTTTCTAGTCTTGGTTATGATGTAAACAAACATAAAATCACGGGGTTAGGAATCTTTTTGGATGAATGAATATATGAATGATTGAAGGATCATCTTTCTCTTCTAATTTGATTGGAGGCTCTGCTTCTTTATTGCTTGATTCATAAACATGGAGTCAAGGTATGTGATTAATAGAGTTTCTTAAGTAAAACTCTAAATCGGATGCACCAAACAAACAAAACAAATTTCATTTACATACAAGCAAAACAAACTCTAAATCAGATGCACCAAACAAACACAACAAATTGCATTTACATATAAGCAAAACAAACTCTCAATCCCATTTTGAATTGTCTTTGGTCTTTTTGTTAATGGTGAAACGATTAGTCTTGGTAACTTGGGTTATAAAACATCTCAATAGGCTTCTTCACCATCATATCCAACGACGAGTTCTTTAGAAAAAATTTAGCAAACTCCCTTACTCAAGCACCACCTTCCTTCTTCTTTGCGCTTAACCAATATCTTTGTCACTTTCATCACCACCATCATGGCTTCCATGTGCCAACTGTTGCAATGTTGTCGACAATGGAAGTTGCTGCTTATTGAGCTTATGAGGTGATACTGATGGTTTCCTTACAGGCATTATCGAGAACTATGTTGGGTTTATATGCGGAACAGTGCAAGGATGAAGAGTGTCAAAAATTGGATTCATGACCCGTGGACGTGGGCTGACTTTCATGATCAAGATCGTTTACATCCTTATCATCGTGCAATCTCTTTTTGATCGACTCCATGGCAGTCTGCGTGTGCACGTCACAAGGGAGGCCTACTACAATATGGAAGCACGACAATGAGTGATCATGTTCTGCGTTAACGGTCTCTATGATGGCAACCGCCAGTCGCTTTGATGGGGAATCAGTATAACCACCAGCTTCTATAACATCATCTTTGTCATCGATAATGATGACCTCCTGAACTATGCGGGTTTTGGAAGATTCATTGACATGATTGTTAGAGAATGTCATTGTTTGTTTCTGATCCATTGTAGCAATGTTGGTAATTATTCTGACCAAATTTTGTGTGTGTGTTTTTTGGCTTTTAGAAGTAAGTGTTCTATATTGGGATGAGGCATACTATGAAAATTAGGATTCAATATTATAAGGAATCTGAAAACATAATGAGTAACGGACAGTGTCCATCCTGTTCTTCACATTATTTGCGTAATAACTCAAACATGAATACAAAAAATATCTAACTTCTATGACTCTAACATGAAAATCCAATAATACAAAATATGACTCTATAATAAAATATATAGTAATACTCATACTGGAGACTCATTATGCTAAACAATACTCATAATAGTTTTAACATCTTTAAGCAATGTTTGAAAAATGGCCCCTACAATTTTTTCTGTAGCGTGATACAATGAATTCAGTTACAATATTTAGATTGCATATCCCTCTAGTGACTAACATGTCATGTGTCCTAACTAGAGCGCAAGTGAAAAGGTTTATGTCTTGAAAAAATACACAATGTTAGAAAACAAAACCTTCATATCACTCGAATTTCCTTACCTGGTCTTCTACCAAAGGCTTTCGGCCTAGTGCTTCTTTCACTCCTTTACCATGATCAAAGTTCATTGGTCCTATGTTGCAGTGACAAGATATGAAAAGCTAGAGCGAGAATTGGAAAAAGTCCTTGTTTTGGTTCATGCTTTATCATGACTCTCGTTTGTTTCATTTCTTTCTATGGCCAGAGAATTCTAGAAACAAGGACTTTTGAGATTGTGATATATCATTATTGAACTATATGATGGTCGATGGATATCCTATTGTACTGTAAATATTGCTGCTATTTGGAATGGGATGAGGAACAAAGAGAGTGTTGGCAATAAAGCTTTGGCATGCTTTTTGGAAGGTGCTCCATGACTCCAAATGGCAATCAAATATTCAAATTATGTTCTGCTACTCTGATATGTGCGAGGATAAAGAGTGGCAGCTTACGAGGCAGTAGTGACAACTTTCTCTGCAGAATAGTGCGAGGATGAAGAGTGGCAGTAGCTGGATTTATGACTCATGGACTGGGGGTTGAATTTGCATGATCAAGATTGTTTACATCTATATCATTGTGCAATCCCTTTTTTGTACACTCCATGGCAGTCTACGGGCGCACGCTGCAGGGGAGGCCCAATACAATTGGTAGACACAACAATGAGTGATCATTTTTCTACATTAATGGTTTCTATAATGACAACACTCAGGTGTTTTGCTAGAGACTCAATATAGCCACCGAGGGTGGCAACACCATCTTCGTCATTGATGATAATGACCTCCAGAACTATGTGAGTGCTAGAAGAGCCATTGACATGATTATTGGAGAATGTCATTGTTTGTTTGTGATCCATTGTAGCAACGTTGGTAGTTCTTCTGGTTAAGTTTTCTGTATGTATTTTTGGCTTTTGGAATTTAATATTTTATCGTGGGACGAGGTATACTATGGACATTAGGATTCCAAGTTTTGTAAGAAAACTGGAAACAACATTAGTAACAGGCGTCACTCATCCTATTTTTCTCGTATTTGCGTAATAACTCAAACATTAATACATAAAATATCTAAAGTCTAGGACTCTAATATGGAAATCCAATAATACAAAATATAACTCTATAATAAATTATATAGTAGTACTTATACTTCAGACTCATAATGCTACACTATACTCTAATATTTTTGACATCTTTAAGCCAAGTTTGAAAATGATGCTATACTAATTTTTTCTAGTAGTGATAAAATGTATTCAATTACAATATTTAGATTGCATATTACTATAGTGACTAACATGTCATGTGTCCTAACTTGAGCGCAAGTGGAAAGCTCAATGTTATGGCATATGGCATAAGGGACAAGTATTTAACATCGAAGGCAAGATTTACCAAGAGAGTGGTCAATTCGTGCCCCTGCATGCAATATGAATCTATAATAAATTTTATAATAATAGTCATACTTGAGACTAATCATGCTACACAACTCTCTAATAGATTTGACATCTTTTAGTCACGTTTGAAAATGACAGTATAGTATTTTTCTGTAGTGGTACAATAAATCCAGTTACAATATTTAGATTGCATATCACTCTAGTGACTAACATGTCATGTGTCCTAACTTGAGCACAAGTGGAAAGGTTAATGTCTTGCACAAATACACAAAGATTACAAAACCTTCATATCCCTCAAATTTTTTTACCGGTTCTTCTGCCAAAGGCTTTCACCTCAATGTTTCTTTCTTCTGAGGATACTCTTCGGTCTGTTAAGTCAAATTGTGCCTCTCATCCATTTACACCACCTCCTTCCCCTAATAAAACATCTTGCTTCCTTCCTTCTTTCCTTACTATTCTTTTTGTTTTAACTCGTTTCCTCTAGCAGATTGAAAGATTAGTAGTGTTCTATGTGGGAATCTACACGCTCAATCTGATTTCTCATGGGGTCAATGAGAAATGACTTTAAATGCTTACAAAATTCTTTGGACTTCTCCAAGTTAACTGCATGCCCAGCATTTTTAATTATTACCAATTCAGCACTTTCTCCGATATGCCTATATTTCATGTCAATATAACAATCGATCAATGGCAAAAAAGAGGTGGGGGTGGGGGGTTACACAACCAATTGACTCCTCTTTGATTGAAATAATATGATATGATAATCGATTTATCGAAAGAGTATAGTATTGTCTTACCTTTTTAGTCTGTGAGCAAGTTCGACGGGAAATATTTGGTCTTGGTCTCCCCATATTATGAGCGTTTTCTGTATTTAGAATAAGAAGGAAATGGGAGTTAGCTAGCGATTAAAAATATAATTTAGGTTAAGTACAATTTATTTTTTGTTTCACAAAAGAGATATATAGTATTATTTTTATATATCACATGTAATCCTTGTTAAGTACTCATAACGATAGTACAATCAATCAAATTAAGTTTGCATCAACAAAAGGATAAGATGTATAACCAGATTTGTTTCTTTGAATTTGAGGGGGTTAGGTATTCAGGGTGAGATTAATAAATTTTTTTACGTGACTTATATTTTCCTTTTTTTAACTGAATCCTGAAAATTTTGTGTATAGAGAAACCGGTTCATTGTGACTTATATAATTATATCCAATTTTGATATATTTCAAGAAAAATTATAACCTTCCTTCTCCTCTTTCTTTATTCTGCCACTTGTGTTGTCTTTCGGAGTCGAAAGGACCATGTCACCTGTGTTGCTCCCCTTCTGTCTCTCCCTTTCGGATGAAGGATTCCTTTGGGAATTGAAGACTAGGAAATTTCTGAATCGAAATTGATTTTTTCTTTGACCATAGTTGTGCTTTTTTCAAACAAACATTCAATCAAAACATAAGCGGTTTGACATGGACAATGGGAGAAGAGGAGGGTAGCAACTAAAAAAGAAAAATAAAATAGGAAATGAGGTAATGGTGAGTTTAGCAACTAGTAAAGGATGGAAGAGGCAGAGGAGGTAGGGAATAGGATGATAGAAACTTGATATGATCCAATTGGGGTCATCTACAAGCTTGAATTACTTGATCGAGAAGCAACCTTCATCACTAACAAGAACCTTGAATTTTGCCTAAAGTGTTTTGCGTGTTAGGTGCACTACTTTGTACGTGTGCAACTTTTTATTGGCTTGGTGGAACTTCGACTTCAAGGGCTTGTTTTGAAGAAAAAGAGTTTATCTCTCCATTGATATGCTTTGGAGTGCAAGAGGAATTCCAGAAGAGTGTTTTGCCGGTCGATAAAGTTGCTAGCTCAACACGGGAAAAACTGCCAAAACTGTTTAAGTGTTGGAGAAAGTTTGGAAGGGCACTTTTGGAGCTTCAGTCGAGGAGATGGGATGAGAGTCGAAGCTCGAGTTTGAAGACCATGAAGGTACAAGTTTCCTTCTGCATCGACGTGGAATTGGATGAAGGAATTGGTCCCTGGAAGTGCTCGAACGAACCACCCAAAGATCGTATCGAGACAGCTGATTCTGGCTTGGAGAACACCAATCTGAATCCTAGTCGGATTAGGATTTGAATATTGTTTTGATTTTAATTCCTTTTCGAGTTAGATCTTCTTTTCCTTTTTGAGTTGGATCGTGATTAGGGCTTTCTTACTTGATTTGTAAGTTAGATAGTCTATTTAAACCTAAGATTGCTATGTAATAGGAGAAATTTTACAATGCTATATAGTATTGGTACTATAGGTTTTTGCCTTTATGGTACAACTTAAAATTGTACATTTACGTTATGGTACAACTTTAGATTGTACCTATACATTTTGCACAAATTCTTTTATGGTACAACTTGAACTTGTACCATTATGTGATGGTACAACTTCAAGTTGTAAAGTTGTACCATAACATAATGATACAAATTGTTTTATGGTACAACCTAAACTTATACATTTAATGTTATGGTACAACTTTAAGTTGTACATTAAAGCACCAATACTATATAGCATAGTAGAAGTGCTCATGTAATAGATAGTTTTTTGGATGTTTAATTGAATAAACCGAGAGTTTATTGCCATAGCTTCTTGCTTGTGGAATCCAGAGATCGTCCTAGGGTTTCTAGGTTTGATTTCGAGCTTGTATCGTTCAGTTAGTCCCACTGATCTTGGCCAAGCCTCTACCTTAAAGTCTCGAGCCTCCTACTCGTTGAGAAGGTTGCACGAAACTTCCATTCCATACACAAACCTGAAACTCTGTTTTTGAGTTCTTTCTCGTCTAATTCAACTCAATCCTTGAATTGAATTCGTGCTGTGTTTTCTATGATCCAAGCTACCCAATTAGGGGTCAGAGCCCCGGTTCTACATAGTGGACAAAACATAGAAGGGCGTTGCCGGAACGACACCGTGGACGAGGTCGAAGAGGCCTGTCTCACAACACCCTGTTGTTCGACAGAAGAAACCAGAGAGAAGCGTCAAGATTAAATCCGAAGCGCAAAATAACAATTCGTTCATGGCAGCTCCGCAGTTTAACATGGAGGAATTCGTGGTCCACCTGAAATTAAGTATGGCTCGAATAATTGCTCGAATTCTTGTTGAAATATTTCTTATTTCCTCTTTTTTAATGATACGTGAACTTTATGGACGATGGTAAAATATAAGAAACGAAAATAGTGAGGTGCAAGGGCAAGAAAATTACATGTGAGATCTTTGGTAAGTCAGATAGATGTCGATCTCTAAGTATGGCTCGAATAAGCTCTGTTTTTTCCTCTACATAATCTGTACACATGACCTGCATGTACACGGTCGAATATAGAAGAGTGAATATGATATTGTTGTATAGTTGATAGCTTGATATTAAGTAATATTAACTCTATAGAGAGCGTAACAAGAGAGGTGCATGCATTGATAAGTTAGGGGTCATGTAAAAATTGATTTGAGGGCTAACACCACTGCAACATCCGAATTATACAAAAAATTGTCACTTGTATACTATTTTATTAAATATTTCATTCAAATCCAAAAATTGTTTTTCTGTTAGTATTGACTGACATTGACAGTTGGTATTTGACAGAAGTATATAATGACAAAAAAGTATCTTACAATGAAACATGATTGTTATATTAAATAAAACTTGCGGATTAATATATCTAATAGGATACAAGTGATATTCTTTTTATAACTCGGCTGTTATAATGTTATTAGCCCTTAATTGATGACTTGAGCACTAGAGTAGTGTTACATGCTCATCCACCTAAAATGCCCAACTATCTATAATGTCGAAACGATGGAGGACATAAAAGTGCTCTTATAGTATCAAATCTCAATTTCAAAACTTGGTTGACATCATGAACTATTTTTAATTTATGACATATACATAAAGGTAAGCAAATCCTATATATATATTGTTGATGTGATTTTTGGTCAAGTGGTAAAACAAAAACTTGAGCCCTTAGAAAATTATAATATTCATAGGTCTCTGGCAACATATACTTAATTCCAAACCTTTGAATTCAGTGAAAACAATAGTAAAAAAAGTGAGTCCTTCTACTGTGTTTGAAATTTTCCATTACATATGTAGATATTAACACTCTTACTGCTAGCACCATGCTAAACATTAAACATCTTTATTGAGGGTATTATAGTAACTATCTGTTCATAGGCCATACCAGCTCCCGTCCCCCTTTCTTTGCACCTTCTGTTTGGTTTACATAAGCAAATTACAGTTTGATATCAAAACTTTATAGATGTCATGATTTAGTACCTATATTTTTTACAAATATGCCCTAAAAATATTTATGAAAAATTACATTTTAGTACATAATTTTTTTTTCTTTTGTCTTGATACCTAAACTTTTTAAAATTTGCAATTAGATAAAAGTTTATGAGGTTTCTCATCTACTTTAAGAAATTTTTGGTATGATTTATGAGGTTTCTAGTATATTTTGAAAAACTTGTGCTCTGTTTTATGAGGTTTCTGGTGTATTTTAGGAAATTTGTGATTTCCTTTAAAAAACTTGTGGTATGCTTTATGAGGTTTCTGGTATGCTTCAGGGAACTTATGGACTGTTTTTAGAAACTTGTGTTATGCTTTAATGAACTTGTGATATGTTTAATGAGGTCCTTGATATACTTCAGGGAACTTGTGGCCTACTTCAAAAACTTTCGGTGTGCTTTAAGGAACTTGTGGTATGCTTTAATACACATTTGTTTTCTAAGGATGATATAGATTTAGTTTTTCTAGTTTGGGTACTACTTAAGGGATTCGAATCTAAGACCTCTAGTTATGCTTTAATGAAACTTGTGATATGCTTTATAAAGTTTTTGGTATGCTTCAGGAAACTTGTGGTATGCTTTAAGAAACGCATAGTATGTTTTAATAAACTTGTGGTATGCATTATGAGGTTTATGGTCCGCTTTAAGAAATTTGTGGTTCCATACACAAATTACAACTTGGTATCTAAACTTAACATATTTTAAGATTTGGTACCTAAAATTATTCTTTTGCATATAAGTCCAAAAAATATTGATGAAAAATTACATTTTAGTATCCTAAAATTTTTATGCATTACATTTTGATACCAAAAAATTTTAAATTTGAAAATAGGTCCACATGCATGTGCCTGTAATTTTTTACAGTGAAGAACGTGCCGTCTCTTTATAATTATGGTAAACTCTTTGAAATAAAAAAATTTATCTTATTCATAAAAATAATTATCAAAATGAAATGTGCCTACTAGCTAAAATTAATGTTGGCATGGTGCTTGCGTGATTCCGTGATTGTGAGCACCAAATTTTAAATCCAGAGTATGGCAGGTGAGAACTTTATCATTCTAAGATCTCATGAGTTTAAAGTAGAACGGCATTAAGAAAAAGTGATTCGACTATAAGTTACTCATGTAAAACAAATTTGGGCAAGAGGTGATTGATGCGAAATCAGAGGAAAATAAATAAACTATGATTTTTTTATAGATAATAGGAGTAAATACCTACACAAATTATAGCTGAAGTGCATGAACAAGGATAATAGAAAAGTATTTTTTTTAAGGTTTTATCTCTTACGTGGAAAATAAATAAACTATGATTTTTTTTATAGATATAGGAGTAAATACCTACACAAATTATAGCTGAAGTGCATGACCAAGGATAATAGAAAAGTATTTTTTTTTTAAGTTTTTATCTCTTACGTGCTTCTCAAACGAGCACTTCTACTATGCTATATAGTATTGGTGCTTTAATGTACAACTTAAAATTGTACCATAATATTAAATGTATAAGTTTAGGTTGTACCATAAAGCAATTTGTACCATTATGTTAGGGTACAACTTTACAACTTGAAGTTGTACCATCACATAAAGGTACAAGTTCAAGTTGTACCATAAATGAATTTGTACAAAAAGTATAGGTACAATCTGAAGTTGTAACATAACGTAAATGTACAATTTTAAGTTGTACCATAAAAGCAAAACCCTATAGCACCAATACTATATAGCATTGTAAAATTTGTCTTCTCAAACGCAAGCTTATTAGTGAGTTTTTGTTCCACTTTGTACAACCTCAATATATAAATATATCATCTATTGTACGGCTAAATCATTCGTCTTTTAGTTTTCATAGGTTGAAGGATTCAAAATCATGTCATGACCTCTCGATCGAAGGTTTTGATACCATATTAACAAACAAACCATTTTTAGTTCCAATAACTCGAGAGTTGTCGAATAGGGAAAGAAAAGGAAGGGGGATACATACGTCAATGAAGTCGGAGAGGAAGTATGTGGGAACCCCCTTGGCAGGCTTAACAAAGGAAAACCGCATCAATTCCTTCAACTTCTCCGGCGTCTGTGGCATCAGAATGCTGGCCGCCTCGTCCAAATTCTGCACCTTAAACAATCCATCCTCCATGTCCTTCTCCTCCAAGCACACCCCAGCGCAGCACAACACGAGCCGGTCGATCGCACCGGGGAACTGGGCCGCCATGCTGTAGCCCACGAACCCGCCGTAGCTGATCCCGACAAGGCTCGCCCGCTCCACGCCATGTGCCCGCAGCATCCGCATCAGGCACTCCGCTTGGAACCCTTCGCTCCTCTCGGCGCGCCGCGTGTGGGACTGCCCGAAGAAGAGCAGGTCCGGAACGTACACGTTGAACCTGGCCGTGAACTGGCGCAGGTGGTCCCCGTATTGCCACATCGCATTTGCGCCAAACCCGTGGACCAGCACCAGGTTGGGCTTCGTGTCCTTTTGCGACCGCGGGACCCAACAGTGCACCACCGTGCCTTCGCCCATGTCGGTGATCGACGTGCGCAGCCCTGCGTTTGCAAACGAGTAGCGGTAGAACCAGTCCCTCGACGCCGTGAAGCTGAAGCATTTCGACATTTCTTTCTCCGTTTGATTTTCTTCTCATCTCTCGTTCTTGTTAATATTATTATTATTATGTATATGAAGAAAAAAGAGCAGTTATCATTATTGCAGCTGAAAACATTTGCCCAAGTTCTTTTCTTTCTCTATTTTCAGAAAACCCTCCCAAAATTTACCTAAAATACCTCAATCTCGTGCCCTTCTATCGGAAACCCCTATAAACTTTGCATGTTTGGCTTCATTCATTTTAAACAACTAGATTTTTTTTTTAAAAATCTGTAATGTCGATGACTAGTAATGGAATTTTGTGCTATATAAAGAATAAAAATGGGAGAAACTCTTTCACTTAAGGAGACGTTGGTTATTTTGAACTAGTCAATCACGTTCATTTTGTGAGAGGTTTATAGATATAAGCATGCATAACTTTGTCACCATTAAATTTAATGGGCCTATGACCATAGATGGCTTGGTCTTCTCTGGAGAGTAACACAGGCTCTTCGGTAGCTTTCCTTTGAGGTCTAATGCTGCAAAGGAAATTCAAAGGGATCCCTAACAAAAACCTATGTCGCAGGCGACTTGAGGACATATAAGAGAGCACAGAAAGCCCTCTCAAGAGGTCGGGACAAGGGGAAATGACTCATCTTGGGCAGAGATGGGTGTGTCAAAATGTCATGAGGCAAGAGAAACGAGATGGTAAGATACCCCCTAGGCTCAGCATGAAGTCATACTTATCGCGTCCAAACCATAATTGTCAGACCTTCGCCCCCGTTAACTAAAAATATGATAGGTACGTATGACTGAAGATGACTAGTGACAGAGGAACACTCGAATCGACCACGAGCCCTTATATTCTCATCATCCTCCATGGGCACCATCCGCTCATTGATATTTGGGGATTTTCACCAAATGGTGGTTTAAAACCCTACTACATATAACAAGGAAAACATTGACATCGGTTCATCCAAGGCTCAGAGAAACCTTGATTATTAGTTGAATTAGGAGTTAAAACCCTTGCTAGCTATATGTATAAAAAATATGTTGTAGACCCATGTTATAATGGTCTTTCTTTTTTGTCTTTCTACAATATGCTAACAAACGAGAATGAGTAGTATGTTGATCAAAGTAATAACTAAGATATTTAATCTTTGCTTCACTATTTGAAACCAACTACTAGTATTTTGAGTCTTTAGAGTTATGAACCTTCTAGAATTCTTGTATCGTATTTTCTCCTTGGATTGGACTTTATGCTCATATTGGACTTCAAAACTCACTTTGGCTTGGACGATGAGATTGACTGAGCTTGGTCCTTATGAGTTATGACCTAAAGCCAGGGTCGATTAGGGGTGTCAGTCGGTCGGTTTTGGTTTAACCGAAAACCGAATTCTTGGTTATCGGTTAAACCAAACACCTCCTATGACTGCCGACCACCGACCGTAGGGAAGCCATGGTTAATCGGCCAACCAACTGGCCGGTTTTGGTTTTAGGCTCGGTTAGCCGCATACAAAAAAACCACCCCTTCTCTCCAAAACGTTGCGTTTAATTCAAAAAATAAAAAATAAAAAATAAAAAAATCACGAAATAGAAATCATCGGGCATCTTCCTCACCACAACTGCTATTCTCTCCTTCTCTCTACTTCTTAGATCTGCTCCTTCTCTCCTTTCTCTCTCCTTCCATCTCTCCATTTTAAACAGGAAGAAGCAGCAGTCGCTAGGGGAATGGAGGCGCGGCAGGAATCTGTCGACAGGAAGGAGGCAGAGGCGATGAAGGCAAGGAGAGGAGGCACTCGCCTTCTCTGTTGAATCTCTGGGAATGGCGGGACGACGCTTCATGACAGAGCGGAGGCGACGAAGGTGCGGGGAGAGGAGGCGCTCGCCTGTGCACGACGCGACGATACGAAGGCGGACAAGCGTGGCGACGATCGAGCGTGAAGGCGGAGGCGGACAACCGAATGGTCTGGGATGGAGGCGCGGCGCGGGGAGAAGAAGATTTAGCGATTTTTCATTTTTGGGATTTAGGGTTCGTCGAGAATCAAATGGGGAGGGGAAATATTAATTGGATTTAGTGCTCTTATTCCTCCTCCTTTTTTACATTTTCAGTTGGGGTTCGGTTAGCCAGTTAACCGCCTTCGGTTACTCGGCTAACCGACGAACCCTTCACCCTTGCCGAACACCTACCGCGATTAGTAACCGGTCGGTTTTCGGTTAGTGGCTAACCGCCGGTTAACCGCTAACCGGAAACCGACCAGCCACCCCTAGGGTCGATTGTTGGTGAACTTCCCTCTAGACCTCTAGTCCTTCATTCTATTAGTTTTGGTCCAACATAGTATTTGTCCTTCGGTTCATTTTTGCTTGAAACCTTGTACAGTATCCAAAAAGGTGTAAAAACACTCCTAAGATACGTTAATCACACATTGGCACAATATGAAGCATTTCTAGAGTGAAAGTGGCTAAAGATACATGAAAATTTATGTAAAATGTGCCGATAATGTGGTATAAAAATAGTATAATCTTGTTATGTAGATTCTCCTTTGGTGCTTACTTCTACGTAAATATCGCGACTTCGGGATAGCTTGGTCGAAACTCTCAAGTAGAGGATCTCCTTTTAATTGTGTGAACAATCCTAAAGTAGCTATGAAACTATTAAACAAATAACAAAGCAAGATCAATAAATCATAAATTGGGTCCCAATCATCTCATATTATTGACCATAAAAAATATATTTATAGAGTTACACAACCAAATCCCTTGTCCCCAAGGTTCGGGGAACAACCACACCCGCTTCAACCGAAACGGTAATGAGTGCTCGACGATGGTGCTTAAATTTATGATACTTCCAATTTAGCTCAATCCCTCCAACGAATCCATCCTTTCCCCACCTACTGTGCCTTACAATATTACCATCCCTAGAGTCATTTACCTCCCTTTTTCTGTGCAGGCAGCCATTTACCTCCAAGTTAGGATTCCATTGACAACAATTATTACCAAGGAACCTATCCTTACAAGCAATTAAATTATTGATTCGTTAAAACTAATGCTCATGATAATGCCAAGTGAGACTTTTTCAAAATGGAATCATAATAGATAATAATAAAAATTCTTTTCATGATTCTCGTGTTGACAGGATCGCAGTATAGTGGCAATATATTATAGATATCAAATTTATGGGTCTCTAGATCTAGTGGTACTCAACTTCAAATTCTTATTTAGCCAATTCAGGTTCATAAACGATTATTGTAAACAACTAAGACTAACAATAATGTAAGTAAATTTACTAAGTTTTATACTGAGAAAGATCACTCAGGTACTGATTCTGCTTAGCCACTAGTAGGATTAATGATTTTGTAACTTCTTTCAGCCTTTGTTCATAATGCGCATATCGGGGAAATAGGGGCTGCAATCGGGGATTTGAAATAGATGGGGCCCCGATGAATGAATGAAAGATCACCGATCAGGGAATAGGAAGCACGAACCATGGTCAATCAAGAGGTTTCCCTGGTCGAGGAAAGATGAATTTCCAATCGAGAATTGGGGCTGCGGCCAGGGAATCAATCCAGGAGGGACCCCAGTCGAGAAGTGCAAAATCCCCAATCGGGTATTAGACACTGAACGACCGGGGAATGCTAAAAACTGCAAAAAAAAAAAACTATTGACTTGATTTTGTTCAACATCCCTAACACCTAAGAACGAAAATACCCCAAAACGAGGGCACATCAGATGATCTAAGCTTGACAAACACGTAGACTAACTCAAACAAACCAAAGTAAAAAAAAGGAAGAAGAAATGCAAACCATGGTGGGGTTGCCTCCCCACAAGCACTTTCTTTAACATCTTTAGCTAGACGCAGCAGGCGGAAATAAAGGTCCACGAGGTTGATCACCAACTCCGCTCGTTCTACCTCGCCTCCCAGATAAAACTTGAGGCAATGCCCATTAACCTTGAAGGCCTCATTCTACGGTTTCGAGATCTCAATGGTGTCGTAGGGAAACACTTGTGTGACCGTAAATGGTTCTGACCATTTAGAGCACAACTTTTCCGAAAAGAGTTTCAGGCAGGTGTTGTGCAAGATAACTCGATTGCTGACCTTAAACTCCTTGGGGACCCTCAAACGAGCGTCGTGGGGACGCTTGGTCCGTTCCTCATACAAACAAGTGTTCTCGTAGGCGTGATAGTGTCATTCCTCTAATTCCACCATCTACATCTTTCTCTCGATACCTGCAAGACTCATATCAAGGTTGAGCAACTTAAGGGCCCAAAAGTTTTTGTGCTCTAGCTTGAGAGGCAAGTGACAAGCCTTTCCATGGACAAGTCGATAGGGGGACGTGCCAATCATCGTCTTGTAGGCTATCTTGTATGCCCAAAGAGCATCATTAAGTTTGGTTGACCAATCCTTGCGAGATTGATCTATCATCTTTTCAATTATCCTCTTCAATTCCATGTTCATTAGCTCGACTTGACCATTCGTTTGAGGATGGTAAGCCATGGACACCTTATGCTAAACATGACAGTGAGAGAGGAGTTTAGTAAATTTCCCTTGAAAATGGGTTCCCTTTCGCTAATGATGTCATGAGGTGTCTCGAACCTGGAAAAGAGCTGCTTCAAAACAAACACACATGTCTTGCATCATTGGTGGACATGGCATGTGCTTCTACCCACCTCGAGACGTAGTCTACAACAACTAATATGTATAGATTACTGAATGAAGGAGGAAAGGGTCCCATGAAGTCATGCCCTAGACATCATATATCTCACAAGTAACAAACGACTTCTGGGGAATCCCATCTCATGCTCTATCACACACTTTCGAATCACTCCATCTGCTTCGATCCTAAAGAGGTATGGATCCTCTCAGAAGTAGTACTTCAGGTCGGAAAAGAAATTTTGCTTGGCATGAGTGGTCATTCCCTGAGGCAACTTTTTGCCCACCAAATAATTGGCAAAGTCAGAGTACCAAGGGGTGCCACTCTCCATCAAGCACATGGCCGATAGTCTCTAACCAGCGGAGGCTTGGCATCAGCCTTGGTCATTAAATACCGGATAATAGAATGATCCGAGCAGACCACCACGTGAGGCAACACCAAGTATGGTCATAATTTATAGAAGACATACACCACTACAAGCAGCTCCTTCTCTGTGGTGGTGTAGTTCTCTTGTAACACCCCACCCTAAAAACATGAATCGAACCGATGGTTCAACCGCGCAGCGGAAATCACTCGGGGTTTACGTTTTCAAAATCTCGACTCAACTCACATTCACATCATTCTCATATGTTTAAAATTCAACTCATCATAACAATTTACTAAAATCATATTCTCAATTCATTAATCCATCTTTGTTAAATTCAGGATTCACCAAACCCAGACTATCAATCTCGTCTACTTCGTTCACGCTCAACTCAAGTTAATGATCATATTTGACTAACGTAAACTATCATGCATGCTCAAAACCCGAATCGTAAAAATAATGATTTCGGAGTACATCAATATGTAAAAAACCTTTTAAACCAAAATCCTCCATCGATCATTGTGCAGTGCCAAAGTCATCCTCAATTTACCACACCTGACACATCTAGAAAGAAAAATGGGTCAGCTACTAAGCTGAGTGTGTGGACCTGGCCTATACGGCAAACCTATTGTTAGCATGCCATCACATCATCACATATTGTTGATTAAAAACACATCATCAACAAATTATCATGCCACACGAAAATCTCATTAATCTCTATATTTATTTCTAGGTCATCAATCCAAATTCATCTTTAACCCAATTCCTCATGGTATGACTTTCATTAATCAAGTCGTATATCGACATAAAATCGTAAACTTACCTCAACTCATGAATCCATCATATCAATCCTTCATTCAAAGTCAAGTCATCATTTGAACATCAAACATATCAATCATTCCTCCATAATCAAATCACCAATTTGGAATTAACCATATCAATCATTCATCCATAATCAGATCACCAAATTGGCATTAACCATATCAATCTTTCAATCAATCATCAATCGAATATAACTTCACGATTTCCTTCATGGAAATCATCACCATCATATATATCATATGCAATGCATGAAATGCAGACTCTCCATTTATTATTAATTTGCGCGCTAAGGTCACCATACGCCCACCCCGCTCGAGCTCATCATCTTAGTGGTTATATCAAAAACCAAAATCTCATCCAATCTAGGATTATCATAAATCCTTTCATTAGGACCGCAGCCCAATCAATCTCATAGGGGTAGGCATAGGCCCTTTTATGTCTATGTGATTTAACATGATCAAACAATATCAATTTCTCTCTTCCATCATATCTCAATCGATCCAAGAATCAATAGCGTCCCATTGATATTCCCAGTCCATACATATCTCACATCATCTATGCATACCTTGATGCATTGCATGATCTCAATATAATCATCATCTTCTCGATGATATAAATAATTCATTCTCTTCAATCAAACTTGACAAATCTACCAAGGACTCAATTTAGCAATACATCATTCACTCATCGTAATCATTTAACACATCAAATACAAATCGATCATGATAATATCTCATCCACATCATCATTAATCAAAGCATTCATCATATCAACATTGCCAAAAAATATCTCAGTAATATTTATATTTACCAATCACATTTATACCAATCGATATTCTAATCACGTCACACTCATACACGTCAATCGTATCACTATTACTCAATATCACTATCATCATCATCATGTCATAATCATACATATCAATCATCAATATATATTTTATTCATCATCAAATCATTTTACCATACGAACCATATAATCTACAACACATCAGTTTATCCATATCTTCCACTAATTAATTATATCAAAATATCAATTAAACATATTATGATCAAAACCTTATCTTCATAAATTTCTATCAATAACTTGAAATCATTCTAAGAACCATACCCAATATATATATTCTCATGATTATTAAAAGATCTCCATTAATGACACATCTCGCAGTGATCATTTCTTAAAATACAAATCTAAATCAAAATCCATTAATAAGACCATTTTCAATATTTCAATTACATACTCAATTAACCTTTTCTCAAAATTAATCTTAAAACGTAAATCAAATTTAATCCAAAATAAAAATACTCATGGTAATCACTTTGAACTCACACTCCAGTTTAAATAATTTTCTCTTAATCACCGCTATTCTGAAAATTATAATACGTTCTCTTAAATAAATAAAAAACCACGTAGAAACCGGTTTCATCCATCCAAAAATCCAACAAAGTTCATAAATTTTTTATTTTAATTATTCTAACCAGAATTCACTTTTCATGTACTCATCCAATTTATTAATTCCCAATTTCACCCTTTTAACATCATAACATCAATTAATTCCAAAAACTCAATTCTTACCAATATAATCATTGTCATGGTAATATATCATGACTAATGTCATCTCAAGATTCCTTAAATTTCCTTTCCTTATTCTGATCTCAATAGACATTTTGAGAAAATATTCGGAGTTCACCATATACGTCAACAATTCCACTACGAGATTAATAATAAATATTATCATAAAAATCAGTTAAATTCATCAACAATTTCATCCAAGATCACAATCATGAATCAATCACATATCCATCATAATCATTAATAATCAACTCAATCGTGCGTATTTAAAAATAAACACGTAATTTCGGTTCCCTTTTACCGTAAGCCCACACACCTTATTTATGACGAAATCCGATTCTGTGAAAGCTCTGGAAATTCCAGATCTTGGTTTCAAAATATTTTCCTCGTTCTCACGATCCTGTAGGTGAAAACGGTTCGTCGTTTGGACGTCAAACGAACGATCTATGAACGAAATACGAATTCCATTAGTACTCAAAGTACCAGGGACTAAATACGAAGTTTACCAGTCAACTAAAAGATTTTGACCCGTATCTGTGGGAAAATTACGTGTGGTACTTTAACTTTTCGATTTACCAGACATGGTACCTGGATTTGACAGATTTTTGCTCAAAGTTCGGAGGCTCGGTTCTCCCTCATCCGACGTCCGAATTCTATTTTGTCGACACCATGACGCTCCTGAGATCTCCCTCTTCGCAACCATACCCACCTTTCGAAGTATGGTTGAAGTTCATTTTTCTGGTTTTTCCGGCGACCCTCCGACGAAACTCCGGCGAAGCTCCGATGAGACTTCTAACGACCTCCAAACAGAATTCTGACTCCGTGGATCGATTTATGACTTCCTCCCGAGCACAACCCAGTTTCAGAATCCTTAATTTCACTCTCTTTCTATTCACTCTCTATTTTGGCCGTGTTTAGTATATGCTCCTCTCGCGCTTCTATTCTCTCCATCTCTATGAATAAAAGAGACAAGTGCCTCATCCTTCATTTTTTCGGCAGAGCCTTGGAGGTCTCTTTACCATTTAATGCACTACAACCCATTGCTTAGTGTTTGTTGGCTACTACAGCTCATGATGGAGCTCCCATGCCGATAGGCAATAATGAATCCAAACTCAGTGTTTGTTGGCTACAACTCACATACTAGCTTTAGCTCTCTTTATATAAAAAATAATGATTATATATACGTGTGCACATATAGTCCATGTGAGGGTACAAAGATTGTGGTATGAAAATAGTCTTATAATGAATGAACTAAATTGGCAATTTAATTCAATCATCCCACCCAAAACTTAATATTAAAGATAGGATTCACTGGTTCGACACAGTCAATGGAGAGTTTTGTTATGGACTTGCTCCTTTGAAATCTTCTCCTTGTATATACGATCGTGTGGGCGCAATTGGCTCGCCGTTTCGATTCCAGACGAAGAGGTTATGACCAAATTAGTGTTGGTACGGGTGTTATTTGAATAACGAAGTGTAGGCTTCAAAATGACATATCTCACTCGTTTGGAATCCAAACTTAGTTCCGTAAAATTCTACGTGATCGTGGAAGAATTTTCTAACCTGTGGAATCAAGATTTGTTTGCAATTTCTGATATATCATTCCAGAATATTCGTTATTTCGTAAACCAATCGATAAGGTCACAACTAATTGTTCGAGTATGGTTGAAATTCTTGATTCATTAATAAACCGAGTTGATTTATAAGGTGCACAAGGTTTGGGATGTTACAACTCTCCCCCTCTTAATTGGATTTCGTCCCCGAAATCAAGGTGTTGGTCAATCTGGCCGTACACATCTTTCGAACCAACTCCATCGTGAATAACGTTTAATTAAGGCACCGAGGATGGTCAACCCTCTTATTTTCTCATGTCTCCTATCACTTGGTTGTGGTGATTTGAGAAGTGGGACCATTGAATAACGTCAACCTATTGCCATAAGCATTAGGTTAATAATGTATCTTGAGGGGTACATTTTTATTAGTTCAGCACGCTCCCCCACTTATGCTTTGATGGTCCCTCTGGCCGTGTTCCAACTTTTCTAGCCTTTCTCAACAACCTTAGGCATTAGGGTTCTTTAGCTTCCAAAACAAAACTAGGCATTTCCTTTCTCATGTCATCCATGATTTCATCCTCAGCAATTCGTCAATTCAGTGGTGTCACTAAATGATTTGTCATCTTGCTTGTCTCCTTTCACAATTGCTTACATGATTGTTCGCAATAGAATCTTGTCTCCTGCAGATGAGACATCAAGTCTCAGTCCCTCGACATCTCCTTATTGTGTTCAAGAAAACTCTCATTCTTTGAGATGAATTTTCCTTCACGTCCTCCCATCCTCTCTGTCTATTCATCAAGAATTTGATTCATGGTTTGGGAACATATCTAGAGCTTCGTCGTTTTCGCTCATGATGCTAATCCCGTATTGTCAGTTACCATCCGATAGCATATAGCACCAATTTGTCACTTTAGAGTTCAATCTCTATAGCCATTTCAACCATGGCTACGTGGCGTCTCCTTCATGCTTGAGGCTTCTGGTACTGATCATAGACTGATCATGACACGAGTTAGTTCTCGAGATCCTGTATTTGCTCTGGCTCCCAACTTGTCCATTATTCTCCCATCACATCTACTCTCTATTGGTGTCCTTGACTCCTACGGTGTTGACTTGAACTTTTGGTCATCTATTCCCTTTTACATCATTATTTTGATGATGTATCTCGTTGTCGATCGACCGTCATCATTTTCACCGCATGCTAGTTAACATCTCCTCATCTTGACTTATTCCCGTACTTAATAGTCTACTGAGCGATCTTGTTCCATCAATCCTCATGAAATTTATTTTTCCTCAATCCACGTTATCACTCGTCACGTATTTAGTCTAATGTATAAAAAGTTATCATTAGATTGGGTCTCAATGACCTCAACTAATATGATGAAACTTGGGATTCTAAACCCCCCAAATGAAATCCGCAATCCTTAAAGGTTTGCAGAATTCCTACTAACTCCTTCAACTCTGTTTCCCCTGAATCAGGAAACTCCATCCCTTAAATTGGGACATGGCACCTTTTGCACAGATCGATGGTTCATTGGAGGAGGAAATCACTTTTCAATTTTTGTCTCAAATGACTCGTCAAAAGACTTTCTTCAAAAGACTTCTCAAATCGATTTCATTTCAAATGCTTCTCTAAAAATGCTTGAAATCATTTTGATTGAATGCAAATGACTCTGACTATGCATCACAACATCATGTTTGGTCTCATTCCTGGAAGTTTAGTGCAAATACGGGTATGGAGTACTCCCCCTCTTTTGAGAATGATCAGTTCTCAAGAGTGAAAGTAACATACCTATAATGCAGAAAACAAACCGAGCTCTGATACCACTTGTAACACACCACCCTAAAAACATGAATCGAACCGATGGTTCAACCACGCAGCGGAAATCACTCGGGGTTTACGTTTTCAAAATCTCGACTCAACTCACATTCACATCATTCTCATATGTTTAAAATTCAACTCATCATAACAATTTACTAAAATCATATTCTCAATTCATTAATCCATCTTCGTTAAATTCAGGATTCACCAAACCCAGACTATCAATCTCGTCTACTCCGTTCACGCTCAACTCAAGTTAATGATCATATTTGACTAACGTAAACTATCATGCATGCTCAAAACCCTAATCGTAAAAATAATGATTTCGGAGTACATCAATATGTAAAAAACCTTTTAAACCAAAATCCTCCATCGATCATTGTGCAGTGCCAAAGTCATCCTCAATTTACCACACCTGTCACATCTAGAAAGAAAAATGGGTCAGCTACTAAGCTGAGTGTGTGGACCTGGCCTATACGGCAAACCTATTGTTAGCATGCCATCACATCATCACATATTGTTGATTAAAAACACATCATCAACAAATTATCATGCCACACGAAAATCTCATTAATCTCTATATTTATTTCTAGGTCATCAATCCAAATTCATCTTTAACCCAATTCCTCATGGTATGACTTTCATTAATCAAGTCGTATATCGACATAAAATCGTAAACTTACCTCAACTCATGAATCCATCATATCAATCCTTCATTCAAAGTCAAGTCATCATTTGAACATCAAACATATCAATCATTCCTCCATAATCAAATCACCAATTTGGAATTAACCATATCAATCATTCATCCATAATCAGATCACCAAATTGGCATTAACCATATCAATCTTTCAATCAATCATCAATCGAATATAACTTCACGATTTCCTTCATGGAAATCATCACCATCATATATATCATATGCAATGCATGAAATGCAGACTCTCCATTTATTATTAATTTGCGCGCTAAGGTCACCATACGCCCACCCCGCTCGAGCTCATCATCTTAGTGGTTATATCAAAAACCAAAATCTCATCCAATCTAGGATTATCATAAATCCTTTCATTAGGACCGCAGCCCAATCAATCTCATAGGGGTAGGCATAGGCCCTTCTATGTCTATGTGATTTAACATGATCAAACAATATCAATTTCTCTCTTCCATCATATCTCAATCGATCCAAGAAATCAATAGCGTCCCATTGATATTCCCAGTCAATACATATCTCACATCATCTATGCATACCTTGATGCATTGCATGATCTCAATATAATCATCATCTTCTCGATGATATAAATAATTCATTCTCTTCAATCAAACTTGACAAATCTACCAAGGACTCAATTTAGCAATACATCATTCACTCATCGTAATCATTTAACACATCAAATACAAATCGATCATGATAATATCTCATCCACATCATCATTAATCAAAGCATTCATCATATCAACATTACCAAAAAATATCTCAGTAATATTTATATTTACCAATCACATTTATACCAATCGATATTCTAATCACGTCACACTCATACACGTCAATCGTATCACTATTACTCAATATCACTATCATCATCATCATGTCATAATCATACATATCAATCATCAATATATATTTTATTCATCATCAAATCATTTTACCATACGAACCATATAATCTACAACACATCAGTTTATCCATATCTTCCACTAATTAATTATATCAAAATATCAATTAAACATATTATGATCAAAACCTTATCTTCATAAATTTCTATCAATAACTTGAAATCATTCTAAGAACCATACCCAATATATATATTCTCATGATTATTAAAAGATCTCCATTAATGACACATCTCGCAGTGATCATTTCTTAAAATACAAATCAAAATCAAAATCCATTAATAAGACCATTTTCAATATTTCAATTACATACTCAATTAACCTTTTCTCAAAATTAATCTTAAAACGTAAATCAAATTTAATCCAAAATAAAAATACTCATGGTAATCACTTTGAACTCACACTCCAGTTTAAATAATTTTCTCTTAATCACCGCTATTCTGAAAATTATAATACGTTCTCTTAAATAAAAAAAACCACGTATAAAACGGTTTCATCCATCCAAAAATCCAACAAAGTTCATAAATTCTTTATTTTAATTATTCTAACCAGAATTCACTTTTCATGAACTCATCCAATTTATTAATTCCTAAATTCACCCTTTTAACGTCATAACATCAATTAATTCCAAAAACTCAACTATTACCAATATAATCATTGTCATGGTAATATATCATGACTAATGTCATCTCAAGATTCCTTAAATTTCCTTTCCTTATTCTGATCTCAATAGACATTTTGAGAAAATATTCGGAGTTCACCATATACGTCAATAATTCCACTACGAGATTAATAATAAATATTATCATAAAAATCAGTTAAATTCATCAACAATTTCATCCATGATCGCAATCATGAATCAATCACAAATCCATCATAATCATTAATAATCAACTCAATCGTGCGTATTTAAAAATAAACACGTAATTCCGGTTCCCTTTTACCGTAAGCCCACACACCTTATTTATTACGAAATCCGATTCTGTGAAAGCTATGGAAATTCCAGATCTTGGTTTCAAAATATTCTCCTCGTTCTCACGATCCTGTAGGTGAAAACGGTTCGTCGTTTGGACGTCAAACGAACGATCTATGAACGAAATACGAATTCCATTAGTACTCAAAGTACCAGGGACTAAATACGAAGTTTACCAGTCAACTAAAAGATGTTGACCCGTATCTGTGGGAAAATTACAGAGTGGTCCTTTAACTCTTCGATTTACCAGACATGGTACCTGGATTTGACAGATTTTTGCTCAAAGTTCGGAGGCTCGGTTCTCCCTCATCCGACGTCCGAATTCGATTTTGTCGACACCATGACGCTCCTGAGATCTCCCTCTTCGCAACCATACCCACCTTTCGAAGTATGGTTGAAGTTCATTTTTCTGGTTTTTCCGGCGACCCTCCGACGAAACTCCGGCGAAGCTCCGATGAGACTTCTAACGACCTCCAAACAGAATTCTGACTCCGTGGATCGATTTATGACTTCCTCCCGAGCACAACCCAGTTTCAGAATCCTTAATTTCACTCTCTTTCTATTCACTCTCTATTTTGGCCGTGTTTAGTATATGCTCCTCTCGCGCTTCTATTCTCTCCATCTCTATGAATAAAAGAGACAAGTGCCTCATCCTTTATTTTTTCGGCAGAGCCTTGGAGGTCTCTTTACCATTTAATGCACTACAACCCATTGCTTAGTGTTTGTTGGCTACTACAGCTCATGATGGAGCTCCCATGCCGATAGGCAATAATGAATCCAAACTCAGTGTTTGTTGGCTACAACTCACATACTAGCTTTAGCTCTCTTTATATAAAAAATAATTATTATATATACGTGTGCACATATATTCCATGTGAGGGTACAGAGATTGTGGTATGAAAATAGTCTTATAATGAATGAACTAAATTGGCAATTTAATTCAATCATCCCACCCAAAACTTAATATTAAAGATAGGATTCACTGGTTTGACACAGTCAATGGAGAGTTTTGTTATGGACTTGCTCCTTTGAAATCTTCTCCTTGTATATACGATCGCGTGGGCGCAATTGGCTCGCCGTTTCGATTCCAGACGAAGAGGGTATGACCAAATTCGTGTTGGTACGGGTGTTATTTGAATAACGAAGTGTAGGCTTCAAAATGACATATCTCACTCGTTTGGAATCCAAACTTAGTTCCGTAAAATTCTACGTGATCGTGGAAGAATTTTTTAACCTGTGGAATCAAGATTTGTTTGCAATTTCTGATATATCATTCCAGAATATTCGTTATTTCGTAAACCAATCGATAAGGTCACAACTAATTGTTCGAGTATGGTTGAAATTCTTGATTCATTAATAAACCGAGTTGATTTATAAGTTGCCCAAGGTTTGGGATGTTACAAGTCAATCACGTTCATTTTTTGAGAGGTTTATAGATAGAAGCATGCATAACTTTGTCGCGATTAAATTTAATGGGCCTATGACCATAGATGGCTTGGTCTTCTCTGGAGAGTAACACAGGTTCTTCGGTAGCTTTCCTTTGAGGTCTAATGCTGCAAAGGAAATTCAAAGGGATCCCTAACAAAAACCTATGTCGCAGGCGACTTGAGGACATATAAGAGAGCACAGAAAGCCCTCTCAAGAGGTCGGGACAAGGGGAAATGACTCATCTTTGGCAGAGATGGGTGTGTCAAAATGTCATGAGGCAAGAGAAACGAGATGGTCAGTGATAGCATCGTATTTGCACGTGTTTTCACTCGGGTTTCCTGTCCATTTTGGCTCGAATTGATTTTTCCTTGGCCTATTTTACGCTAGGTTGTGTTGTTTTGTCGTATTTCAGGTCCTAGCAAGTAAAGAGGTGCATAGGCGCAAGTTTCGGGTCATTTGGAGGTCAGATGGCGAATCAGAGAAGGAATTACGAGCAGCCCCTGCCAAATTACGACCGTAATTAGTCAGGGCATGCCCATAAAACAATTGCCGAGCCTTTCCCCAGAATTTCTTCTCGGTGCTAAAATTACGGGCAAGACCCCCAAGAATTACGACCGTAATTCCTAAAATACTGGCGGTAATTTGGAAATTACGGGCGTATCTCCTCCTCCTTCAGCTTAATTGAAACGTGCGTTTTGGGGTGAATTACGGGCAGGACGTGATTACGGCCGTAATTCAGCCCGTAATTCGCCCAGAGTCGGGTTTTTGGAGGCAGATTCGAGCCAAGGAAGGGGGATTCGAGTTTCTGGAGCAAAAACAGAGTTTTAGAGAGAGAAAGAGCGAAGAACAAACCCTAGGAGCTATTTTGGAGTGGATTTCTCACCATTGAAGCCCAGATTGCGTCCCCAGGAGTGAAGATTGACATCCCAGAGCAGATTTTCCTCATCTTTATGAGTATGACTACTCTGATTTCTGTTTTCCTTTCTCTCTCTATGGAGTAGAACCTTTCTCTCACTTGGGTATGAAGAACCCTAGTTCCTTGTGTTAGGGATTTGATTGTAATGACTTGGGATGATGATACTGTTTGATTTTAATCGAATGATGCATGTTTATTGAATTGATTGAAGTCTGATCAGCTTTTCTTGATTTCTGTTGCAACCTGAGATAGATAGAATCTGATTAGGTTGTTAGAGCCTCTTCATTCGATAGTAGGAGATTGGCTATACGAGAGTTAGCCAGTGTACTGCTTTGTACTGGAATTCAATTCCTGTAGTGGAGTTCTGTGCTTATTGCTTCAGCTTTCTATCCCTGTGAAGACTAGTCGTCTGCCGGATAGCTAGACTGAGAGGGCTTGGTCAGCTTAAGAGATTCCAAGCTACTGTCGGATCTTCCGCAGTTTAATCAACACTGAATCAACCCAGGGGAATTACAATTGAACCTAACTAAGGGGCTAGGGGGACTCATTTCCGAGTGACTCTTTCCTGCTTTTGAAAACCGAACCATTTCCTGCTTTCTTACTGCTTTTGCTTTAAACAACAATCACTTGAATTAGTTTGCTAGATAATAGACAATCACGGAGTAAGCAGTAGATCTAGACCCCGGGTTGATAATAGAACTTGCCTATTACTGCATTCCCGGACTGCGATTACACTTGGTCGCAGTTTGGTGTTGTGTTTTGGCGTGTCAAGTTTTTGGCGCCGTTGCCGGGGACCCCTCTAGGTTATTGGGGAAACGTGAGAATTTGTTACTCTAGCTTTTTCTTTATTGCATTCTTTCTCTTCCACCTGTGTGCCTTCACGGGTTGCTTCTGCTTATTGTGTGCAGGTAGTGCATGACCCGTAGCCAGTCGGGAGATCTACTACCATTAGACCAGGAGCTTGAACGAACCTGCAGGAACTTCAAGCGGACTCTAAAGGCGCGACTGGCTGCGGAGGAGGCGCTATCACAGTTGCAGATCGAAGAAGAAAAAGAGATGGCTGATCCACAGAACCATGATGTGATCAACCCAGAGGAGCAGACCATGGGATCCTACTGGACCGCTAGAGCTGCGGATATGAGGTCACCCATTCAACACCCTCATGTCCCAGCCAACAATTTTGAGGTGAGCACATCAGTAATCACCATGCTGCGCGGTTCAGTGGTGTTCCGTGGTAAGGAGGGAGAGTGCCCCCGATCACATCTCAGGCGATTCCACGAGCTCATCGATGG